AAAAAGGGCCCCCCCCCCCCCCCCCCAATTGATTAATGGAAATAGGCCAGTTTAGTGCACAAATAAACAAGAGAAAGATAATTGACAACTTTATTGTTTGGAATGTTCCCTCATATAGTTCTCTTTGCCACGCCTTCATTATATATATTATTTTTAGAGTTAACAAGGTAGTTGCATTTGTTTGATTTCTTTCTTCTTAATTTAATAGGTATGATGCGGAGGCCACCTATTTTGATGAAGGTGCTAGATCTTCGAAGCACAGTCAGTTGGAAGAGAAACTGATGCAAGTAATACTTCTTTAAGCTTGTGTAATTGGTTGTAACTTGTAAGTGTTCACCATACACATTCACAAAATACATAACGCATGTATATAAACAGTAATGGCATTTGAGTTCTGAATTTAGTAAAGTTCCTGGTAAAAATAAACTTTTTCCCCATCCCTTTGACGATTATAAAGTTGATTGATAATAAAAGATCTTTCAGATGCTTTTATAAACAAGACAGAAGTAGTCCATAACAACAGAAGATGTGAAAATAATGAGTGGATGATGGTAAACATGATATCCTAATTTCAAGTTGAATATGTTAAAGTCGCAAAAGATTTCCACTGCAATGATGAATTTGATAAATGCATTTTGCCGACTGGTAGTGCGTGAACGGTATAACAGTATATGTGGAGGAAGGAAGCCATGCCTGCAACTGACATAATTAGACCATTTGTATGTGCAGTATTTAGTCACTAGCTCCAGTTTACTTGTGTACATCGTCTAGTTGAGGGGGATGATATCAACATTGAGGATAAAATGGTAAATACAAAGAATAAAATTTTAAAAATAAAAAAAAAATGTCAAAAAATTGGGCCCCCCCCCCCCCCCCCACCCAATTGATTAATGGAAATAGGCCAGTTTAGTGCACAAATAAACAAGAGAAAGATAATTGTCAACTTTATTGTTTGGAATGTTCCCTCATATGGTTCTCTTTGCCACGCCTTCATTATATATATTATTTTCAGAGTTAACAAGGTAGTTGCATTTGTTTGATTTCTTTCTTCTTAATTTAATAGGTATGATGCGGAGGCCACCTATTTTGATGAAGGTGTTAGATCTTCGAAGCACAGTCAGTTGGAAGAGAAACTGATGCAAGTAATACTTCTTTAAGCTTGTGTAATTGGTTGTAACTTGTAAGTGTTCACCATACACATTCACAAAATACATAATGCATGTATATAAACAGTAATGGCATTTGAGTTCTGAATTTAGTAAAGTTCCTGGTAAAAATAAACTTTTTCCCCATCCCTTTGACAATTATAAAGTTGATTGATAATAAAAGATCTCTCAGATGCTTTTATAAACAAGACAGAAGTAGTCCATATCAACAGAAGATGTGAAAATAATGAGTGGATGATGGTAAACATGATATCCTAATTTCAAGTTGAATATGTAAAAGTTGCAGAAGATTTCCACTGCAATGATGAATTTGATGAATGCATTTTGCCGACTGGTAGTGCCTGAACGGTATAACAGTATATGTGGAGGAAGGAAGCCATGCCTGCAACTGACATAATTAGACCATTTGTATGTGCAGTATTTAGTCACTAGCTCCAGTTTACTTGTGTACATCGTCTAGTTGAGGGGGATGATATCAACTAATGTTAATGTCCAGGGGAATAGTTTGAGAGTTGAATTAATACAGCGGGAATTTAATCTTCAGACGAACTTAGGGGGTTAGGTCTTATCCTCTTAAAATATACAAAATACAAGTTCCATGATATCTAAATAAATAACATTTTTCAAACCAAAAACAGTTAATAAAGGAAATTCCTTAAAACTCTTTTGATGTAGTAGGCCACAGAGAAGTGAACAAATATGCTATCTTCCATAAATCTCCAAGTAGCTGTTCTTTTTTTCAGAAATTCTGGAGCTCCTTTCAGTCCAAGCTACCCAACAAATAGCCAAAGCCACACCGTTCTACATAACACAACCACACTGCTGCACCTTTCAGGTTCTTCTGGTGATTTTTAATGCTGTCCTTCATGGCTATTGGGCTCAGATAGGTGATTAGATCAATTATTCTCATGATGCTAAGCTTTCATGCATCGACAGAATTTTATCTATTTAGATGTTTGTCTTTGTTCCGATGGCATGGTATATTTCACTAGGTGTTCAAAATGGGCATGACAGCTCTATTACATTCTCTCTATTATCTGTGTGTTGGCACGTGTTTGTGCATGTTTCTCTCTCATTTTTTTCTGGAAGCACTTCGTTCGATTTTTACGCGTCAAAGGAAATATATTCACACCACAATTTTTATTATCTACACCACATTTTAATTACAATTAATATATTCTCAACTTCTTCTTTTATTTTTTAAATATTCATCATCAACCCTCTATTAGTTTTCACACCTTTTCTATAAAGACAATTTTTATCCAAAATATTTGTTATGAGGGTCGAATAGACATTTGTCTTTCGTATTTAACTAATATAAAAGTTAAACAAAATATTTGTCCTTCTTTTCAATGACTATCAAATAAATCAACATATTAATCACTTCTCTTTGGATACTTGTGTGATAGTGACATGTATCTATTCTAATTCTCGAAGGCTCATAATATAAATATATTTTGACATATTAAAGATGATGATTTTTAAGGAACGCCAAATTCTTCAAATATGGCATCAATTTTTTTATTTATTTTTTTCCTTAGTTGAAGACTACTAATTTTCATAACTAGTAGCATTAAATTTTCTCCACTGCCAAGAAAAGCTAAACCTCCCTTGGCACCAAATACTTCAAGAGTTCAAATATGGCATTTTCTAAATTGAACAGTACTACAGTTAAACTAATTTTCGTAACTTGTAGCAATTAATTTTCTCTACTACCAAGAAAAGCTAAATCACTTGGTACCGTCAAATATGGCATCAATTTTTTATTCTTAGTGGAAGACTGCTGATTTTCATAAGTAGCAATTAATTTTCTCCACTACCAAGAAAGCTAAATCCCCTTAGCACCAAGCTCTTCACATATGGAATCAATTGTTTTTTTAAAATGCTACACTTACAGTCTTTTTACACATACATTTTGACAGACGTCTCACATGGAGATTTGAACGATACTCTATAAGTGCAACTGGCAAAATTTCTTCCTTTGTAGTTTCTAGTATTATACAATACTATCACGGACTTTACTTGTAAAATGTTCACTACAGGGAAAAAACCAAGGGCAACTGGAGTGGTTTTTAAAGATGAAAATGGGATGCAACATCAGGCAGTTCTTTGAAAGGAGTCCAGAAGTGAAATTATACTGTCATCTGGTGCAATTGGAAGCCCTCAACTGCTGCTGCTAAGTGGAATTAGACCGAAATCCCTGCTTGAAAAGTTGAACATTTCTGTGGTTCTTGATAATGAGTTTGTTGGAAAAGGCATGTCCGATAATCCCATGAACGTGATTTATGTTCCCGCTAGTCAGCCGGTTGAGCAATCTCTGGTACAGACTGTAGGAATTACCAAGATGCGAGTGTACATTGAGGCTAGCAGTGGATTTGGAAAATCCTCAGATAGCATTCATTGGGACCATGTACTTGTTTCAGCTGACGTGAGTAGAAATTCATATATGGCTGTATAGGATAGGATACGACAGTGCAACACACATATTTTGATACTTTTTCTTCTTCAGAACTGTCCAATATTATAAAATCCACTTGACGAAACAAGCCACATACGTGCAGATTGTTTGGGTGGGGTTGCAAGGGGGCATTAGGGCCACTTCTTGAGGGAGAGACCGCAAGCTCGATTCTTACGTGTTTTGGATTCAGGAATACATTAGACATTCTAAAGATTGTCCTAATATTTCCACGTATAAAAGTCGAGAGACAATTAAACGTGAACTACCATAAATCAGTGTATTTGTGCTCGTATGTTTCTGATTTCGTTTTTGCTTAACATTGCTCTCATATTTGAGATTCGGGCTTAATTCCTAACGTAGATATATCGTCTTTCTGTTATGTGATCAGATAGGGCAATTATCTACCATTCCTCCAAAGCAAAGAACACATGAAGCATTTAAGGGAGGTTTCATTTTAGAAAAAGTTGTCAGTCCTCTATCCACTGGCCACCTTAATCTTCTCAACACAAATGTAGATGATAATCCCTCAGTCACCTTCAACTACTTCAGCCATCCGTCCGATCTACAAAGACGTGTCGATGGCGTACGACTCATAGAGAAGATATCGAGATCAAAACATTTCACAAACTACATGAAATGTGATGGCAAAACAGTCGAAAAGCGGCTGAACATGAGTGTTCAGGCTAATGTTAGACTCATACCTAAGCATACTAATGATACAAAATCCTTGGAACAGTTTTGTAAAGACAATGTTAACACAATCTGGCACTACCATGGAGGATGCCATGTGGGCAAGGTAGTGGGACCCGATCATCGGGTTCTTGGAGTAGAGAGGCTCCGTGTTATTGATGGTTCTACTTTCAGTAAATCACCCGGGGCTAATCCTCAAGCCACAGTGATGATGATGGGCAGGTAAGATCACAATATTCTTTTTTCACTATGCTAACATAAGTGCTTGAAAGTTGATTTCTTGGAAAAGCAAGTTTTCTTAACAGAAAAAGTAACTTTAAAAATTATATTTAGCAAAATGAGTAAAAAATTTGATTTGTACAAATGCAGGTACATGGGATTGAAAATATTGGGGGAGAGATTGGGAAGAGCAGCTGGAGCATAATAGGGGCCAGTTTATACTTGTATAGGAAAAAACTTTCTTGTCATATTAATTCTAAGCTATAAATTATGTGAGGACTGAAAAAGCTTATATGGAATGGGAAATCAGTCATTTCCTATCTTGTGTATCCATTATATGAAACATCAAATCTCCTGTTGAATTGCTTGTTGAGGCTTTATTTGTTTCAAGCAAATCACTTGAGTTCAAGGATTGCCCTCATTCATTTATAAAAACTGTATGTAAATCATCATCTTGATATAATATATTTCAAATTCTTTATAATCAAGACGAAAATATAGTTGAGATCTAACTTCAACGCCATTTGGTACTAACTATAGAGATAATTATAAATCGATGAAACCCAATTCACTCAGAACTTTCCAACTTTCGTCGACTTTGATGCGAAGGCAAAGGGAATTTTAGAAATTGTTGGAAATGGTTCATGAATATTGACCTGGTTTTTTGTCTTTCAATCATCAGCTCACACAGAAATTACTACCTTGATAGCATTGGTATAAGAATACATTACACTGCTCAATTCTATCCAATACAGCATAGCATGTTTGCCAACTGCCTAACTCGCTTGTTTCTGTTGTATTACAATAACACTACCTGTCCAGGGATAAAAAAAGTACAGTAATAGACTTCCTGTAGTGTCGTTTCAGATTGCCTGATACGACTAGCAAAAAATGCTCAGTTAACTCCTGAATCCAGACTGTATAAAAAGGTCAAGACACAATAAGTTCCCAACATAGACCATCCACCTTCCACACAACTGGCATCAAAGAATGCCGACCAGATCAAGGTTTTACATCTACATAATGGATGTTATCTCCCCTGGATCAATATCCCAAGAAAACGAATTGCTGATAACATACAGGTCCATATAGGTCCCTTGTCCTTGATTTGCTTGCATTGCACAAATATGAGTGCCTTGAAAAAAAGGGAAAAAAAAAAAAGATCTTCCAATCAGAAAGAGGAACAAAAGAAAGAGAAGAAATGGTGGAAAAGGTGAAGCTATTGATTTTCGATTCCTATCTGAACAGATAAAGACTATCCCAGCTTATAATATTTTAGATGCAAAGGCCAATGGTGTCACTAAAAAGAATTTGTAACGCATTATTATAGATGACGATAAGTTCAAGAAAAAGGAGAAAAAAGATGGGTGAGTAGTGATTTTTAATATGTATGAAAAAACAAAGTGATAAAGAAAAGAAGTAGGTAGAAAAAGACGAGCCATTTGCTGATACGTGACATATGTTACAGAGGTTTGCTTTTGAATAATGATTTAATAAACTCCGTGCCTTTAGCAGAGAGTATTGCTATATCATTTTGTGCTTTTAAGCTTAGCTAAACATGTTCCTGAATTAGAAGTCAACTTTCAGCTAAATCTGTGAAATACATCACCAATCAGCTACTATTTGGGGATCGTAGCACAGAACATTAAAGTAAAAAAATGTTGGCCTCAATCCTTTAAGCAAGAGGACAGCATAAAATGCTTAATTTCTCATTAAGCAGTAAAAGCCAGTTAAACTGATTTTTACATCTAAATAAAATTGAAAACAAGAATACCTGTATCCAATTAAATAGAAAAAGTTTCTCATCCTTGAAAGTCCAAGATCCATCAATACAGGCACCTTCAGCTTTGATCCTCCAACATCTCGTCAAGCATTTCCACACTTCTCTTCGACATGTCACCGCCCCTTAACAATGTCGTAAGAAACCTTGGGTATAATGTAGGATAATCAAGGCTACCAGACATTTCCTATATTAATAAGTTAAAAAGTTAAAACTTGATACGCAGTACGCGCTACGTTGCTTACTCACTGAGATAATCATGTCCATTTTACTATTCATGACCAAAAAATTCACATTTCCTTTTCAAATTGGGAAACTTGCACCAATGGTCCCCAATATATTGCTCAAATAGTAAGTTAGTTTCCAACCTTTAAAAAGAAGCAAGTTGGTTCTCAAGCTTCCATTTTATTTGGGCAGCAAGTCCTCAATGACAGGGACTAATTGTGCAACGAGAATGGAAGGTTGGACCAACCTACTAATGGAGAATAGGTTGGGGACTAATAGTGCAATTTTCCCATTTAACTTCACATACGACACAAGCAAGAAGTCTACACTATATGCATCTATAGCCCACACACACACATTGGTGGGAGTTTATGAAATTTATGTTTCTCCCATTTGCATCTATAGCACCAATATCATATACATGCATATACGCTGAACATAAATTAACTACATACTGGAGTTTTTATGAAAGTTATGTTCTCCTAGCAAGAGGCTAATGATAATGTGATCCTAACATAAATTCACACAGTTGGATCCATAAGGAAATCCATCTCTACTCAAGCCAGTCAGAAGATTTTAATGGATTTATAATAATAACAGACTCAGGAAAATAAAACTAGACGCTTTAATTTTTCAGGTGAAAAAAGAAGAGATAATTGTATATGCAAGTAATATTATGAATGTCCTATCATTTAAAACCAACTTTAAGTACGGCTAGGATGTGAAGAGACAAACTATTTGCTGAAAGACGCCTTGAGACCCAACATTTGCAATTTGTGTCTCCACCAGCACCTGCTGTACAAATGATGGCATTCAACAAATTGTTCTTTAAAACAAAAGAGCATGTAAGCAAACAAAGAAACCAACCTTTCCTTTCTTGTTTGCATTTCCATCATTACTGACCCATTGCTTTCCGGAATCTATTCGCTTGGCACCCTTGTTTGTCTTAATAACATCATCATTAGGCATTTGCTCAGCACCAGTGATAGTGCCACCTTGGATGGGAAGAGTTGCCGATATGTCCAGTCTCAAATTAGTTATAGAAGGGTTACTCATGTTTTCACATTGTAGCAGAGCTTCTTCAATGGCAGCAACAGCAATATCGTAACTATCCTGAGACAATGACCCTTCTTCACCTAATATTATAGCTCGTTGGCATAGATCATTGTAACGACGGACCTTAGATTGTACCTCATCCAATTTTTCACTTATGGCAAACCTACTAGTGGCAGCATTAGTCCACCGTTGCAGTATGTACTTAAATGGTATATTGAATACACCAGACATTTGGAGAACCACGATGGCATGTCTACAAAGATAACCCTTATATTCAAATGAAAGACATGAACAATATATATCTGATTCTCGTTCATTCCATTCCACTATATAGTCCTGATTATCTTCGAAGTCTTTAACCCCATACATTACAGTTAACCCATCTTCTTTTTCTTTTTTCAGATGGCAAGCGGCTGCTCCCAGTACCTCGCTTTGAAACTTTTTGAATATTTCATGAGTATATACATGTAACATTTGTTTCTCAAAAGGCGAAGGGGACTTCAGCTCAGGTGTTTCATGCCAGGCATCAAAATTTGCTTTGGCCTCCTCTTCATACCTATCTTCAAGAATTGATTTGTATTGTCCTATCAAGTCCCTCAGAGAAGTTTCCCTGTGGATATATTTGTCAAAGAAAGAGTTCAGACTTTCTGATCTTGAAGCTGCATACAATCCAGCAAAAGACATGCCCCTCATAAAGGTAGGCATCCAGAGCATGCGGTCTTCGTACAAGGATTGTATCCACAAGTCTTCTCTTAGTCTAAATCTCTGGAGCAATTTCCACCATCTTTTTTCAAATAGTTCTTCAGTCCATGACCTATATATGCATTTACAAAGTTTTTTCATGAATGTATCATGCCACGGGCTATGATAATCAAGATGCTTAGGGATCTTTTCCAGTACATTCCACAGGTGGAAAAAATGACGAGTGTCTGGAAAGACAGCTGGAACAGCTGCTTTGATGGCATCGTTTTGGTCAGTAAGTATGATTCTAGGACTTTGTTCCCCCATTGCCACACGCCACGTTTGCATCAACCAAACAAAAGTATACACAGCTTGATCTGCAATCAATGCACAACCAAGCAACATGGGCTGAATATGATGGTTCACTCCGAAAAAGAGGACCAATGGAATTTTAAACTTGTTTGTGAAATATGTTGTGTCAAATGATACCACATCACCAAAATATGCATAATCTTCAATGCCTTTGTCATCAACCCAAAACACATTTCTCAGTCGATGCTCTTCATTAAAGTCCAAAGCATAAAAGAATTTTGGATTCTCTTCCTGCATATGTGCTAAAAATTCCAGTACAACTTGTGCACCCCCATCTTCCAAACACAAATACCGCCCCCTATCATGCTGATTCCTGACAATATTCTCTGAAGAAAGAACTGGAAAACGATAAGCACCATGTTGTTTTGACCCTGCAGCAAACATTTTCCTCTTCCGAACTTTAGCATCATTGTTATCAGGATCAGCATTTCTATGGCTTCTAAAAAAGTGTGCTTGAGCCGGTAAAAGCTCATGGTTGTGCTCCTTAACGAAACTATGAACATACCATTTCCCGTTAGACCTTCGCTTCACATGCATACTAGCTTTACAACCTATCTTAGGAGAAGGCCTAGGATTTATGGCATCATCAGATTGTTGTTTATTACCATACCTTATGCATGAAAATTTCGCATCAATGAATTCCTTTGAAGCTCGGGAACGGCGACTGCTCAATTTGGCAGTGCCAAAACCAGCAGATTTAGCGTATTCTTTATAGAATTCATAAGCAGCCTCGTGTGTGTCAAATTCCATGTCATCTCGAGGTTCTAAATTCGGGTGTGCCACTGTGACAATACTATCGGACTCCATTTTTGCTGGCGGAAAATTCACAAAACCTCAGGGAAAAAACAATTAAATACTTGCACTAAAGACTTATCATTTACACGGCTACCTTGTTTTGTAATTTCAGAACATTTATTTGGGGGGAGAATGCAGACATTTATACTTCAGCAATTTCCCATAACATCACCTACAGTAAAAATTTGAGAAATTAAGAAAATGACCAAAATTAAGCTGAAATATTGGAAGCCCAGAAGTGGAAAACTAAAAAACCAAAAATTAAAAAAGATTGTACCTTAATCGCTGGTTTTTCT